AAAGTCGGAAGAATCAATGTCAAGCATACAAGAAAGATTATGATCATACGGTTGCAATATTCGAGTAGTAATGAGTGCCTCCTTCAACTTATTAAAGGCATTTTGCTGCTCTAGTTTCATTCAAATGGGACACTTTTTTCCTATAGGTTTATTAATAAGATAGCAATGTGAACAAATCATTGAACAAAATGATGATAATATCCAACAAGGCCTAAAATGAACAAACTTCAGAAGCATCCTTGAAAGTTGGTCAATCCTCTATCGCTTTCACCTTATTTTGCTCCATACGCATGCCTTTAGAGGACACCACATGTCTCAAAAAAATGACTTTCAAGTCCTAAAGTTCACATTTTGATTGCTTATAATAGAAGCAACTATCTTGTAGCTAGCATAGTACTTCTCATAGGTGTTGTTCATGCTCTTTAGAGATTTTATTATATATGAGGATATCATCAATGAAAACAACTACATATTTGTCTAAAAAGTTTCAAAAAAATCTGTTCATTTGACTCATGAAAGAGGCTGAAGTATTAGTAAGGCCAAAAGGTAAAACCAACCATTTGAAATGTCTATAGCATATACAAAATGCCATCTTTTCTACATCTTCTTTTGCAATAGATATTTGCCAATAACTACTCCGAAGATCCAATTTATTAAAGATGGTCGCACCTCAAAGTTAGTCAAGAAAATCACCTATACATACAAATAGATATGCATTTTTAATAGTAAGGTTATTAAGGCCTCAATAGTTGATGCAAAGGCAAAGTCCACCATCCTTCTTGGGTGCAAAGAATACAAGTACTCTCCATAGTGATGTGCTTTCTTGAATGAAGCCTTTTTTGAAGAATTTTTCTAATGTCTTTTGCAGCTCTTTAAGTTCTTTTGATGTTAGGCGATAAGTTGATCGACTTGTTAATTTGGCTCCAAGCAATAGTTCTATTTTGAAGGAGGCACCTCAATCATGAGGCATGCCACTAGGTAGGTCAATTGGAAAGACATCTGGATATTCTTGTATAAGTTTCTCTGCCCGTTCTATTCTTTTAGCTGTCTTTTCCACCATATATACTGGTTGCTCATGTTGTATTTTCTTCTTTGTAAAGGTTATCTCTATAAGTAAGTCTTCACTTGATATGAAGGTGTGAAGAATCACCTTGTATCCATCTTTAAAAGAGATTGTCCTTGCCATCTAATCAACTTACTTATTTTCTATATCTAGCCATGGCATATTAAAATTAACATCATACCTTAGCTTTGTCACCTTGAATTTGTCTCTTAAGATATAAGCATCAATCAATCTCAAGGTTTCTTCTCCACACGTATTATTCAATATATTTTCTTCGTCATCTGCAAGATATATACTTCTTCTCTTGATTGCCTTAGTTTTAATTCCAAGCGGGTCGATAATTTTACTTAAGATACAATTTTTTGTAGAACCACAATTTACAAACACTCGACATAGTTGTCATCTTAGTAGTCCTGTTAGATACTTCAGTCAATTCTTTTTATAGTTATTCAAAGCCATGCCATTCGTCTCTGAGAGATAGTAGCTATATCCAGTATTGGTCCTCAGTGCCTTTATTGGGGAGCCCTATTTTCTTGCTTTGTCTCATTATCAACTTGGTGAATTTCAAGACTATGAACCCGCTTTATCTTGCTGATGCTTGAATTTTGATATTTTGGACAATCTCTAATCTGAATAGAAACACAATTCCTTTTGTAGCAATATTTTTTATCTTTATGGTATCAATGACTCTTATAGAGCATTAATTTCTATTAACATTGGTTGTTATGCCATAGTATTAGATAATAGCATAGGATTTTATATTATAGGTCGTGCTTGATGATTTTTGAAATCTATAGCATTGCCCTTTTTTGCAATCTGAATTGTCTCTTCGAATGTTGATAGATCTCTTAGCTCTACGTCTCACTGGACACCAGGTTTCAAGCCTTGTAGGAATTGGTCTATCATCTCCACCTCCAAAACATTGCCAATTTTGAGATATAGGGACTTGAATCGAGAGACATAATCTTGCACTGACCTAAATTTTGTAAGATTTGCCAACTGATCATTTGCTATCTTCTTTGCATTGATGGGCCGAAATTAATTCCTAAACTTGGTCTCAAATTCCTACTAATTACAAAATATACTAGAAAAAAATTGGACAAAATTAAAAAGAATAGAATATTAAAGACAAAATTGAATAAACAAAAATAGAACAAAATAAAACTGAATAAAAAGATGCAAAACCAAACTTTACTAAGAAAAAGGGTCCAAAGCCATATCTAACCAAATACTCCAAAAGGCCTTGGCCAGTCTTATTTATACCTTATTCTACTGCCTTGGACTTTCTAAAATGTTCCTAAGTAATAGGCCCCATCTAGATAACTACCTTAAACTTTTTTTTTTAGAAGATTATATGGTAGGTTCTATCTAAACAATTGCCCTAAATTCTTTTTAGAATGTTCCATGATGGGTCCTACCAAATCCACTAACCTAACTCCAATTCTAGAAACTTCCATGGTTATAACTATCTATCCCTATAAAATTATCTTATCTATACCCTATTATAATATCAATAAAGGCATGTACTTTTATCAAAGAGGATACATCCAAACTTTATCATAATTGAGTTATTGTAAAGCATATTTTATATTAATAAATCCAAAAATTAAATTACAATATAAAATCAAAACACCTAAAGTTGATCCTAAAATATATTAAAGCCTAGTATATGAGCTACTACATGCAACAATTGATTGCTGGGAAGTATAATTTGTAGTTAGAAGAATATTAAGATATATGAATAAGTCACAATTTACACATCTTATTGTTGTAAAAAAAAACTTTTAATATCTCAAAGCTATAATGGATTACGAAAAAAATTATCCTACTAAAGATGAAAGAAGTCTACTTGCCTTTGTCAATAGAGATTGGATGGAATGTATTGATTCACATAAATATATGTTGAGAATCTTCTACAAACTTGGATCAATATAAATTCTCTAGTTAAGTAAACTCCAATCAATTATAGCACTCTCTTCTACAAAAGTAGAATATTACATTTTCTTAGAAGTTACTTGTGATATCACCTACTTCCACTAATTATTCAAAGAGTTGTAACTGGGTGATGAAGGTCCTCCACTATTATTATGTAATATGAACAACATTAGAATAGTCTAAAATACTTTCATATACTAGAAAACAAAGCCATTGAATTGGACCATGACTATATGAGAACAAATATCAAGATGGTACAATTGAAGTAAGTTATATTCCTATATATTTACAACAAGCTAATATATATATATGCATTTAAACTAAGGAATGTGTCAACTTAGATACAGAAAACAAGAAAAACTTAATCCTAAGAAGAGCCTAAAAACACTAGTCTTAGTTTTTTTTATCATAGAAAATCTTTTGTTCTTTTCCATATTCTAAAGTTTTTGAACTTTGCAACTTTGTAACCTTAAATCTAATCCCTACACTTTGGCCATGACATAAACACTCTCGTATTATATCTATGATAAATGATGTAGAATTTGAACAATACACCTTTGAAAAAAACTCCAACTCCAAGGACCTCAATTGCACCTCAAAAAAGAGAAGCCACATCAACCAAGAAACCCTCTTCACTATCCTTACAATTGTCTTGCAACATAGACATTATCAACCTAGATAAAATTGAATTAAAGGTTGATCTATATATAAGTTAAAAGACAACTATAACTAGCTACACCATAAGGAGGAGGAGTTGAAGTTGAATAAAACAAAAATCCAGAGTTAATTTGTATAGAAGAATGATATGCCAATCTTTGGAGGAAAAAAAAAAAAAAAAAAAAAAAACACCTTACCACCATCAATTCATTGATAACAACTTACAATTGATTGAATGTCAATAGACTAATACATTAGTGCACCATTAAGCTCTTGTTCATCCACCAACATTCCATTTGTTGATAATAGAATTAAATAAAAACAAAATTATTCTAATGAAACTTTACTTTAGTAGGTAACTTCAATCGTATATAACCTTTCCTCATCTAATGAAATAAAAGTCATTGTGTGCATATTAGCAACACAAAATATATTGACATTAGTCATAAGCAAATGCTTCAATTCAAGCACAATTGATAATAGTAGATTGAGGAAATTGCAATATCCGACGAACTGGTTGATCTATCCTTTACATTCACTTGAAAAGTTTTCAGTTTGAAACAATTCTGATTTGGGGTGTAGAGTTTTGATCTCTTTAGACTGTATCGCTGGATGATACAAGAATGGTTTCAACGGACGAGTGAACACTTCACGCCCATGTTCCGAAGAGACGCTTTCCTGCATTGAACCGGAGAAGAATTGGACGAGATGGAGTTCACGGGCTCTGAAACAAATATGAAGCATCTAGTTTCTGAGTGCTACCAATGTCAAGATACATCAGCGGATGCAGACCTCAGGTTCACGGCGCAGTAGAAACCGGTTTGGGTGGACTATCCTCAGGTACAAGATTATACATCATACCACTAATATGTACAGATCATGCTCATGGGTATTAAGATGGAGCGAATTCATGGCTACTTGCGTCTGCCCTGTGTTCTATCGGATATGATTAAAGGCGCATGCTCCACATATTAGGTCAAAGATTCCCTGTGCAAGTCCAACGTGAAATAGAAACAAATACAGCTATCTTTACCTTCGCCATGCTCCTGACCAGTTCATCTCTCATATAGTCAAGGCATTGACCATGCCTCAATCCAAAAAAATCCTACCAAGAAAAACATGCAATCACGAGAACTTTTGGGGTCTTTCAATAACATGACGCTCAACACAAGCAGATCAGTAGCACGTCAATAACATAATATTCCTCGGATATTTACTCAAACATCAACAGTAAAATCGGCATTGCTCCATAACTAAGGAACACAAGACGATGTAGGGCCACATACCTTCAGAGAAATCAGTCTTGACTCATTTCACAAAAGACCTGCGCTGGTGCAAGGAAAAAGAAAAAGGAATCGCATTTTGCGACTGACTTCAACAGCATTAACAAAAGTAACACGACAGAAATCATAACAGAAATCGATCAACCGCTACTTCAAATGAGACAATGCTCTTCAAATGACCTAACACAGCTGACACGGCATTGGAGCAACCTTGATGATGCGGCTCAATTGCTACAGAGTCGATGCCCGAGTTAAAAATATGAAAAAAATGTCTGGTTAACCCACCAAATCAACTCATTAGAGCCAATGCTCCAAAGAATGTTATGCACTACGAGCCTCTCTTCTTACGCCTAATGTACAAAGAAGACGGCGGGGCTGGCACGAGGCATAGCACCCCACACATATATACAATTATCCTTCACATCTACTAGTTATCTCACATTGTATGTCTCCAGCCAGGTAATTCTCACAACGTCACGTGATCTTTGATGGGCTATTCAACTCCCTGGTTAACTCTAAAGTAAATTCCACAATCCTCGAAGCAGGCGTCACTACCATAAAGCATCACAACTGTTGGGTATCTCCAGGATAACATTAGCTCCTTGCTGAGCTCCAAAGCCCATCATCTGCATGAAATGAAAGACGACGAAGACTAAGACATAAATATCCAAACTAATCGGTGAAATCATTCAAGTGCACTGCTTGTATTCCAAGGCTGCGCGGCCTTGCATCAGAAGGTGGACAACTACTCCATGCCACAACTTTGACCACCAGGTATAGAACGAAGCTCAGCTCTGATATCTGCAAAGCTGGGGTGATAAATTTGTGCATAAGCGTGGATCCACCATTCTCTCGCAGCAAGATCAACCAGGGCGTACCGGCGATGTTGGGCCAACTTTACACCATCTAAATCAAAACAGCATGAACATGGCTACGACAACTAATGCAAAGTGCCTGCAGAATCGATCAATAGGGGTCACCGAATAAATTCGTCGGAGAGACTCACAGTCGTCCAAGGGTAAACCTAAAATCAATATTCCAATGGAACATCCAACTGAGACTGGGACGTTGAAGCATGATATCTCCTAGTTCACCACGCTTACCTTTCCACTGCCAGCCATATGGTGAGACCTCTCAGCGTCACACTTCTAAATACCAGATTCTGGACTGAGTGGCATCTCTGGGCGCTTAGATGAGGAGCTCTTGGAAGCTGCCTGTTCAGGCATGACTCGTCGCCAATCCACTATGTGCATCACTGACATGATCGACGACTTGTCTGCCTTTTTCTTCAAAACAACCAGTTCCCCCAGTATAGGATTTCATGTCAGAGCACTCTAAGAAGGAGCGAGGGGAAACGGAATCCAACCCACTGTCTAAAGAATATCTGGCTTCTTTTTGGCCGTGCACATCCACTGATTTGGACTGATCGAGAAACTCCTGCGCATCTATCAAGTCTCGAGACAGACGGTCCCCCTTAACCCTACCTAATGTCCGGGGCCCCAGGTACAGCGGACTAGGCTTACTGCTAGAGGAAGACAACGACCTTGACCATGAAGTGCTCTTACTACCAATGGTGGTTTGAAAATGTGGATCCGGCAGCGCCATGGAAGGAGATGATAACGCAGACTTCGAGGTGGAGACCGGCGCTTCTGGCTTCGGTGAGAAGACACGAGACAGAGGGTTATTCATCCCAGGGGCTTGCTTATGGTCGGAGGCTGTGGAGCTTTTGGGTGTAGTCTTGAGCGTGTCTATTTTGAAACCCACATGCGGACTACGCCGGCTACCGGACCGCGAAAAAAACCCCCAGGGGGATGACTTGATACTCGTGTGCGACACAGGTTGGATTGGAGAAAGAGCGTCGTAGGCTTGATTACCGTCTGGAGTTCGGGGCCTTCGATTTGGCGGATTGTGCACGTGGAGATCACGATTCGCCTCTCGAGTGCTCTTACTCATCCGCCACCTCGTTTGCGAATCATCCGCATTGCTTGCTCTGTGAGTGAATTTCGACACGGAAGACGAAGGGCCTGCTGCGGGTGTAGTCTTCCCGCTGCTGATTGAAGATCGCTTTGATTCTCCGTTAGCCCATCCAGTTCCATTATGCAGCGCATGCTGCTGTTCAGAAGATTTATCCTTTTTTCCATCTTCAGACATATTCTGCCCATGCGATTTCCCGTGATACTCATCAGTAACCCGTTTCTCATCAAGCTTCCTCTTCACTTCAAGCTGTCTGTCTGATTTCCACAGCGAGACAAACGCGGTTCGCAAGGATGTTATCCGGTGCACAGCACCACCCCAGGTAAGCTTGACTCTCGAACTCGAAGCACCTTTGGATTTCCCGGCATTCGATGCGCTTTCATCTTGCACAGCGAAACCTCCTTTAGGTTTGTCCTTTTTACTACGAGTTCGGTAGCTAACATTTGGATACGTAGGTTGATAGCTCTGCGCATTGGCGTCCCTCCTTCGGGAAAAATCTGCTACCGAAGTTGTTGAGAAGGCTCCGGTGTAAGAGTCGAGTGACTCTTCTTGGTATTCCCCTTGGTATGCTGCGAGCTTCTCAAGGGACGTGCGTAAACATTGCGCACACACACCTTCACCTTGTTGCCTTGGGTGCCACTTACACCAACGAGCAGGAATTCCTACTCTATCCCCCATTGTCTTAAATCTCCATGTGATCGGAGGCTCTTCACCTTTCCATGATACAAAAATAGAATGCCCAAGACTACCAGCTTCTCTTGTGCTGACTTCCAAGTCAATCGAAGTCTGCAAAATCCAGGCCTAATATACAAAAATCAGTATGTACAGTCCGCGAAGAATCATAACATGCCAGAGAAGGCAATATGTTTTGTCGAGGCACAGGAAGAATAGAATGCTTCATTGCATGTTAGATACAGCCCACTTGAAACAGTTGTGAGAAGGTAAAGAAATGAGCGTCAAGTGAATATGAAAATTTTCCAGTGCACAAATGTAGAGTCAAGTTTTTGTAAAAATATCCGGACATTGCATTCCATTGAGGTGGTAAGCCAAACAACAGTATCCAAAGTGTGAGCTTGGAAATTCTGAGGATGTCCTCTGTAATTGTTAAGAACAAGGATCTATGAGAATAGCAAGTTCAATCCCACGACGTCAAGTTTTTGTTCTACATGTTGCATAACCCTGATTCCGAAAAGTAATTTAAAACGTAAGTTGCTTGCTAGCAACATGAGATGGGAGATAGCGCCTGTCCGAGACAACGGTGGTTTGGCCTGTCCCTAACCCTGTGGCCCGTAACGACAGAGGCTTAATCTTTCAGCATATTGTTGGGTGCATAGCTCCTACATTTCAAAGCTCAACACCTGAGCGGTAGAGCCTCAAAATCCACCGCAAGAAATATTTCTAATCTCTCCGAATAAAATGCAACGGCATGAATTCCTATCCGATCCTCTATAATACACCCTTCATGCTAAAGCTAAGATCTCTTTTGGGGGATCAGGACGTCTAAAATCCAGATAGCAACAATGTCAAAAGTAAGATTCCAAAAGCTCACAAACAAACTGGAGAAATTCCTTAACACTCATCTCACCGCTACTCAACTTCGACGACTGTAGCCCAAAAATATTGAGAATTATTGGAACCAGCCAAACACTTCTTCAGATCTACAAACGAAAAATCCACCCTGGTCCAATCAACAAAAATCCTCCCATAGCCAAGACACAATCAACGGCACTCCACGTGCTTGAGCCAAATATAAACAGGTACATTGATCTAGTACCTCAAATGTTGTTAATTAGAGAAAATGCCATCTGATAGCAAAGAGAGCACATCATTCTCCACAGCAGCTACGAATCCGGGAGGAAATCATTTTATTGAGGACACAATTCAGAAAAATCGTTGCGGCTTTACCGTCACACCCAGCCGACCGTCTCGTTTGCACTTTACCCCGCAGAACGCAGATTCTAGTATACCAAACCCTAAGCTCTACGCACTCATGCACGCTGTGGACTACCCTTTTAAGTGGCGAAAAAACTAGCCTGGTTTCTAAGGTTGGGTGGAGCAGATAAAAGAGAGAAAAAAGAAGGAAAAAATAGTGACCTGAACAAAATGCATGAAACAAAATATCCTCACCTTTGTATCCGTATGGCATCTGCACAGTGAGCAATAAATCGAATTGTCCTTGAGATATCTTCCCTCAACCTCGACAACGGTTGCCACTACCTCATCATATTTAGCATGCTGCTTCCAGCAAACCAAGCTTACAATCCACCGCAAGGCCCCACAATGCAAAATACGAGATCGCACGAGGATTACAACCCACACACAGTTCCGGGCACCCAAGTGAACAAAACAAAAACGAGAACCCTACCGAGATTGCAGCCTAGCACAGCATATAGTAGGCTATGTAACACCAAAACTGCTAACTTTAGCCAGGAGTGGACCTTCCAAAGCATCTAAAAAGGAACAGCCGTTGACCACGAGGCGCCGCACCATTGTGCACATGAAGGTTGGGCAGGAACAAACCCGAAACAGCTCAACCTGGCCGACGAAACACCAGGCCGAATCCTTAACCAAGAAAAAAAAGTGTGCAAGTGTGCCCCGAAACTGAACTTGGGTACCCAATTGACTCACTTTTTTTATGTTTTCGTTTTTGGTTGGTAAACCTTTGGCAAGGTTTCACTAGCAATGGTTGCGATTTCATTGGCGAACTTGTTTCAATCAAATTGTGGGCAACAAGGGAGGACAAAATTTTCGGGAGGTGAAAATACCCAGCAACTATTCTAAAAATGTTTGTTGACATTTCTAACTATCAAATTGTCAATTTATGGAAGAACCAATTATGACAACATTCTTAGTTTTATGACTGTCTTTAATTTAATCTTTAAAATCTTTGCAATTGATGTGTAGCAACATCATACACATACCTTATATACACAAATAATATTTGGTTATATGAAAGATTTTCATATCATTCTAATAATCATCTAAATCATTTTTCTGTACACTCAAATGGCTCCATTATGTGAAACTAAGCGTAGAATTTTTATTTTGTCCTGGTATTTAATAAGGCATTGTTTGCGAGTCAAAAAGCCCTTATTTTCCTACATTACACACTGTTTTGAACAAAAGCATGATACTTCTTAGCTACTGCACAGTTTTCTCAGATAACATCCAAAGCGTTTAATCAAATACTTAAATAATGTCTAGAAACATTCACACTACTTCACATAAAATTAGTATATTTTTCTTTAAATTGAAATTGACAAGATACTATTACAGCCTAATAATATTCACAAACTTATTAAATTGTTAGAATTCAAGAGGATTTTGCCATGAATGATTTTAAATCGAAAATGATTATTTTCTGCAAACAACTCTTTAAGAGATGTTGGCAGCAAGGTCTTAATAAAAATCAATGTTATAAAATAATTTTATGCATATTATCACATTCTATAGAATTTAAAACAAAAAAAAACAAAAAATAAATATTTAATTTGTACAACCATTTGACTATATATATATATATATATATATATAATATTTTGACTATGTAAATGTTTTCCTGCTAGCACCTTTTGTGTATTCAATTTAATTTTTTATATTATAACTACTTGATAAATATTTAAAATTAGTATTTTATCATCATAAACTCATATTCTTATTAATTTTAATCTTCTTAAGCTAAATATTAATTTATAAAGATTTATAGGTCAAAATGTTCTTAGAAATGTTTCACTTAATCTAATCAAAGGACTTATGTTGTAATAAATATTTAAATTTTTAAAAGATCAAAAAATTGTATTGACTCTAATAAGTTCTTATTTTGGTGACATATTCTTTATTACTTTTCTAGTTGAGGTGTCTTCTAGGGAATAATTTTTTTAAAGATCCAAGATATGTGTATGTGTGTATATAGTTATATAGAAATGTATGTATATATATTTCATTAAAATACTACAAGTTTTGATATTTACATTAGATAAATTATAAAATATTGATGTAGTAGATTTCTTATGCTATAGATGTATTATACATCTAAATCTAAAAGATAAAACTACTACTTTAAATCATTATAACTTTTAAATTTTATTGATAATTTATTTTTATTTTTTATTAATAATATTTTACTTTTAATACTTATTTATAATATAATAGTATTAATTACCATATTAAAAGTTATTGTACAATATAATAGTTTTTTTTTTTAAGATTTTAGTTTTTAAAATTATATTATTTATCATATAATGTATTATTATTATAAGTCTATTGTAGTTTTAAGTTTTCTTTAATATTATATATATATATATATATATATATATATATAATTTTCTTTCATACACATAAATTAAAATATTTCGAAGTTTTGAAAATATCTTCTAAAAGTGCAATCAATTTTTTAAAATAATATTTACAATTGAATATAAAACAATGTCTTCTAATAATAAAAAAATATATTTTAAAGTACTATTATTATTTAATAACATTAAATTATATGTAATATATTTCACTTTAAAATATAATAAATAAAATTTTAGATAAATTTAGTTATTAAATATATTTAAATATATTAAGTTTCAAAGGCAAAAAATCATAAAAAAAATTTAAAGAAGGAACACACTCTTACAAAACTCAAAAACAAAAAATAAACAAATCAAATATAAATGTGAAAAAGAAACTATAATGATTATTGCCAAATACAAAGAGATTAGAGATTCTTATTCTAAGACAAAAGCACAGGAAAGGTATTGGGAAGAATGAGGAAAGCCTCACTTTTGCTTTTAAACATATTATCTAATTAAAGAACTATATAGCAATGCTCTATAGATCATCCAATATGTGTCCAACTGGTAGGATACATGTCTAATTTGTAAGACAAGTTTCCCACATGTGTTCCACATAATCAACTTGTACAATATGTGGCCAACTTCTAAAACAAGTGGTCAATATATGTAGCATGTGGTTAATGAAAAGCATCTACCTTTTCTACTACATTTGCAATAAAATTAATAATCTATTAAAAATAAATAAAAAGATTACATGTAATATTTTATATATTCATATATTTTTAAAATATAATAAATATAAATTTAATTAAATAAATATTCTTTACTTTTGAAAGAAAAAACCACTATACGTTATAATGAAAATTTAAGTTGCACAGTGATATATAATTCAAATATTTTATAAACTATGTTACTTAAAAATAAGAGGTAGCTAGGAATTTATAATGGTTAAATTTGGAAGAATTATAATGTAGAGCTTCAATTAAAGCAAATTATCATTTATAGAAAGTAGGATTACTTTATAAATCTTAATAAATATTGAAATTATGGTAAAAACTAAAATAATAGAAAGAATTATAATATTTTCTTTTATTTCAAATTATTTTTTTTAGATTTAAAACAAATGGCTATTATGAGTATACATAAAATACTCATAAGAAAAAAATATTACAGTTTTGTATTATTAAAATAAACTTAACTATATATTTATTTATTTATTTATTTATTTTGTTGTAATTTTCATATATTGTCATATTATTAAATTTATGATATAAAAAAATGACGTAAAAAAATAAAACATAATTTTATCATTATTGATCATATCAACTCATTTTATCAGTTTTTATTCTATTTGTTATTTTAGTCCTTTTGCACTTTAATATAAATCATACGATAATTGAGTTATGCTTTCATATGTCTATTTCTTACTAGGGCTTTATATAAAATTTTGTTTATGTTTATACATATACATAAATAAGAAAATAAATACTAAGGTGGTGCATCAATGAGATCAACAAAAATACAGTAACATTAAGGAAATTTATTTACTTTCAGCGCAATTGCAGTAATCATAAGGAGAAGTGTATTGTTTTCCTGGTTTTTCCATCCATTTTAAACTTGGTATTCAAGAACAGACACTGCTAATTCAGAAGAGAGAAAGAAAAGAGAAACTGCAGCTCTAACAAGTGATGCAACCATCCTGTTTAAAATTCCATTAATTACTGCATTAAATACCTTCAAGTCAGGTTTTCCATTGAGTTGCATTTTATCAAGTTAGGAATTTCACCCTTGAATGACTGTAGGCATGCAGCCAAAACACATGCAATGGGAGGAACCATCCCAAAGGTGGCAGGCACGGTGTGGTGCTCTACAGGGGGAACATGGGCACAGTGCCATTGGTTGGAGGAGGGGGGTCCAGCTCAGACAAAATCCTGGGGCCTTCCCCTAACATTGTGCATTGATGAGAGCCTGTGCAAGGGGACTGTGGGGGGCAGGGGACTGGAAAGTGGAAGGGAGCAGAGAGATCAGAGAGCAGGTGGGGTTGTGTTCCCCGGCCTTGTGGGAAGCCAACAAGAAGCACACTAGAGGGGGCATTGCAACCCATTGCCTGCAACCCTTACAAAGCTGAGGATCTCCTCAGAAAAAGGGGGAGCAACGACAGCCAAATTTGATTCTTCAACCCAACATTTTGCAACTTTTGATGTGTGAGTTTGTGTGTGTATGTGATGTGCACATGAGCACTTTGTTGGTGGCTTCCAACACAGATCATGGGGCCAACCACCTCCTTGTCTCTCTCTCTCTCTCACTCACTCACAGATTTGCAAAGCTGACCATCAGGCTGATTATTAGCTGTACAAAGCACCTTTATGGTTAAAACAGAATTGGGCATTGCATGGCTGGAATCTGGCTCTATAAAACTTGTTCAATCAGCTTGACACTTTGCAGAATTTCATTGCTTTTATTCTCCATGTCTTTATTTTTCATTTTGGGACATGAAGAATGGCTTTGTGTTATGGTGCCATGTAGAAGGGAGGTTCAACAACTGCTTGAAGAAGTTGGTTTCTTCATGAAGCAACCCAATATTGAGTGTCTTAAGTTGTGAGTGGCAAGAGAATAGGAATTTGAACCTTTCCTCATCACAAAACCTTTCTATGTAGTGTCTGCTGGCAAATGCTGTTCAATGATCTACCTTATCTTCTTCCTGTCTTCCACACTATGAACTTTCAATAACCACTGGAAAAATGTGTCAGAGTACATTTGTTCTATGGTAATGGTTGAAATCCTCTATATTAAATTTATGTAAGATACTAAATAATGCACTAGACATTGTATTTTAGAGAAAATGATGCATCACAACAAAGCATGACCAAAATCAGTATATGAATGAACTTGCTTCTTGGTGCATTCAAGGTTGCAGTTTGAGTTTCTTGTGCTACCAAAATTTGACTATACCCAAATAACCATCCATGAAGATGGACATTTCATGATTTGATGCCATCTAAAATAATAAGTATGAAGAAAATAAATAAAGAAAAGAAAAGAAAAAGACAAAAACCATTCACAGATGAATTCATTTATTGTTGATGGACATGTTAGAAAATTGTATCCTTTTTTATATCACAAATATGGATCATTATATTCTTTTATAAGCTTTTAAATTCTTTTAAATTCTATTATTTATTTTTTCAAAAATCTTATAATCTTTTCATGACAATTCTTTTTCCATTGTTATAACTAACACTCACAATAATTCAATGTTAAGAACATTTTACAACTATTGAAATATTGAGTCACTTTTTTGTATTTTTAAGAAGTCTTTATTTCTTCTAAAATATTTTAAAAACTTCTATAGCATTCAAGAAGTTTCTTTGTATCATTTTTATAATCTTATGAAATCTTTCAAAGCTTATGTATACTTTCAAAACTTTTAAAAATCAATAAAAAAATTCTCCAAAAAGTTCTTTAGAATTCTAAAGTACTTTAAGGCTTGATAGTATCTTATATAGAAGTTTTGATAATATCTAGATGCAATATAGCAATAAAATATTAGGACATAAACATCATACTTTACTAATAAATGCTTAAGAATAATTCATAAATTGTTTTGTTATTTGTATTATTAATAAGTAGATATCTCTTTTTTGGAATATTTTTTGCTTTGTCTTATTTATTATAATTATTTGGAAGCTATAATAATATATTTTTTTTATTTGTTTGTAAAGAAAATTAATTTTTTGATGGTTTTTTATATAAATTTATTATACTTGTGCTTGGATTGTAATATGATGGAATCTAAGCTACAAATCTTACATATACAAGTGGTTTTTTGAGTATAATTGAGAACATGGGCATGTTTTTATTGAAGAACAAGCACTTTGAAGACACAATACTTAGCATCAGCAAGGTTGTATACAAAGAGAGTATGGAATAAGATATCTCTCACTTCCAATATCCATTACTTATAGGTAGTGGTTGCTGTCCTAAAAGACAACTTTCACTCTTTGACTTTCACACACGTAGTCCTAAGATCCTTTTGGCATCTCACGAGGCTCGAGGGTATCCTATGACACATACTAATGAATTATATTTAGTCTTTGGATATTTCCTTGTTAATACTTTATCCTTTTGACTTTAACTCTTGGTCCATGACTTCGTCCTATATCTATTGGATGTCCTTACCATATACCAAGAGTCAAACCTTTGACCACTAGCAATTTATCTAAGTTAATATCCTCTATAAGGTAACTTATTTTATTTTTACTTTAACACTCCTACTTTGCTATTGGTCAAATGGATTTTAATCCTAATGCCTTTGTCAATATGTAGTATCTATCTTTTACTAATGCCTTTGTCAACAAATCAGTAAGCATTTACTCTGTTGTACAATACTTCATATCAATCACTCCCATTTCAATCTTCTCTCTTATAAAGTGATGTTGAATGTCAATGTGTTTGATCCATGAATGATGCTTTGGATTCTTTGCAAATGTAAGACATCTTTGATTGTCACATTCTATTGGAGTTGCTTCCATTTGCACATCTCCAATATCCTCCAAAATTTGTCTCAACCATATTGCCTCCATTACAGTATGGCTTGCTGCCATGTACTCTGCTTCCATTATTGTCCTCGCAATTCTTGGTTATCTCTTACAATTCCATGAAATTGCTCCCACTCCAACAAAGAATACATATCCTGTTGTTGATCTTCTATCATTTGCATCTCCAGTCCAATCCACATCACAATAACCATACAAACTAATGTTATCACCTTGAAGGCATAATTAAAAGTTCAAAGTATCTTTTAAGTACCTCATGATCCTTTTGATGGTTGCACAATGAATTGATCCAGCCTTTGACATGTGTTGACTCACAACACTCACCGCATATGTAAGATCCACCTTTGAGTCAACCATTGCATACATAAGTGAGCCCACTGCTGCTTTGTATAGAACACCTTGTATTTGACCTTCAACTTCAGCAAACTCTTCATCCGTGAGCTTCATCAACTTCAAGTTTGCCTCCAATGGTGATCCAATAGGCTTACATTCCTCCATGTTGAACTATTTCAACACTTCTTCAATGTACTTCTTTTGGCTCAATGTAATAATCTTCTTAGCTCGATTTCTCACAAATTCCACTCCTAAGCAATAGTGGAGGTCTCCCAAATCACTCATTTCATAGTCCTTTTCTAACTTTGCCTTCAACTAATCCATCTTCTTCAATGTATTGGTTAAGATGATCAAATCATCAACATAGAGGATGATAATCAATATGAACCTATTTGATTGGATCACATATAAGGAATGATCAGCATCACTCCTTACAAATCCTTCATTCACAAAGAATATATCAATGCGTTGATACCATGTCCTTGGTGATTGCTTTAACCCATACAAGGATTTCTTCAACTTACAAACAAGGTGTTGTTTGCCTTCTTCAACAAATCCTTGAGGTTGCTCCATGTAGATGACTTCTTCCAATTCTCTATTCAAGAAAGCCGACTTCACATCCATTTGGTGCATCTCTAAGTCCATTGCTCCTCCAATTGCCACAATGGTTCTAATGGTGGTGAATTTGGCCACGGGAGCAAATGTCTCATTGAAATCCACACTAACAACTTATGAGTAGCCTTTCACAATCAATCTTGTCTTATACCTCACAACATTATCCATTTTATCCGTCTTTGTTCTAAATACCCACTTACAACCAATTGAAGCTCGATTTGATGGAAGTTGAGTCAATTCCCATGTTCTATTGTCCATGACTGATTTGTACTCTTCTTCCATGAGCATTCTCTCACTTCAATGCATCCGTGGACTTCATTGCATCACATAAACTCAATGGATCAGCAAGAAGTGTAACATTGGCATGTTCTTCACTTACTTGAGAAAAGATGTGGTCCTTCCACCATTCACCACGTGGTTTTTTTTCTCTCAAAAGATATATCCTTTCATTTGAAGAAGACTCTTCTTCTTGCATTTCATCCTCTCTTCCAACCTTCTTCTTCCTCAATGCTTGTCTTTTCTCACTCAAAGGTTGATATTTTTCATCATCATCATCACCTTCAATATCTTCATTGACTTCATTGTTAGTTCTAGCAATTGAAGGCATACTATGATTTACCTTCTTTGACACTTGATCTTGACTTCTATTTCTTCCATCTTCTTTGTCATCATCATCATCTTTTTTTTTTTTTTTTTTGCTGAACTTGAAGATGTATCCACAAACACATCTTTATTCCGACTTTGATACTCTTTCAAGTACTCAAAAATACTCTTATGCTCCAAAAACTCTACATCACGACTTTTGATGATCTTCTTGGTTTCTAAACACATTAGCCTATATGCTTTGGTACCTTCACAATATCCAACAAATACACATTTTGTACCTTTTGCATCAAGTTTGATCACTAGCATTGTTTGCATTCTCCCTATCTCCTTTCTTGGCCTTGTAACAATTTCTAACAAAATCACCTAGTTTTCCACAAATATAGCAATTTCTCATATTACTTTTTGAATTATCACGTTGGTGAAAATAACTACCTTTGCCTTGTTATGAAAATAGAGCCAAATCATCACTTGTAAGCTCTTTTTCTTTCTTCTTGATCACTTCATGGGCGAGTCTTGACGTGACATAGTTCATGATAAGCTCCTTCATGTTGATGGACTTCAATGCCACAATGAGGTAGTTGTAGGATTTGGGAAGGCTCATGAGCAATGTCAACACAATGTCCTTATCATCAACTAGTTTGTCAACAACTGCTAGTTGGTTAGCAAGTGCTTTTACCTTGTTAATATGAGCCATGAGGTCATCTCTTTCTTCTATCTTTATTGTCAAGAACTTCCTCCTTGTCCAAAGGATGTTGGCAAGGTTTCTACTCTCATAGAGATTGCAAAGAGTCTTCCATACTTCTATTGGTCCATTGCAAGCTATAACATGTGAAAAGTTGGCATCATCAAGGTTTTTTGCAATCATCCCAAATGCCTTCCTTTCACGATGTTTGTACTCCTTTTTCACCTTGATATCAGCATTGTCACTTGGAGGGTCTTTACTTTCATCAATAATGTCCCAAAGGTCCATTGAAGCCAAGAAAAGCTCCATTTTTTTCTTCCAATGGTAAAAGTTGTCACCTCTAAACTTTTCAATCACTCTCAAGCTCTCACCTTTACTTAAAGCCATGTCTAAAGAAGGAATGTGTCAAAGAAAATCAAGAAAAGAGAAGATAGATCTCTCAAAATCAACAAGAAGGTGTTGCTGCTTTAGAAACCCATAATGCCCTCTTTGTAATTATACAAGTGATTTCACTCTTCTATCACTCTCAACTTCACACATAAGACTTCTCACAAGTCTTATACTCTATCTAAACCTCTTGCATAAGCTTTGCCACTCTTCAATCACCCCTCTTTCATACTACTACTTCTAATATAAATAGAGTATCAACAACAGAGAACAATGGAAAAAAAAAAAAAAAAAAAAAAAAAAATTACTAATTTTGAAAAAGAAAAAAATCAAAAAAAATAAAAAACTAATGAAGAATTTAGAAAATAAAAATAATGATGTTGAGAGAAAAAAAAAAAAAAATCAAGTTCTAAAGAAAAGGGTGTTAAAAGGATTTTTAAATAGAATAGTAAAGATTTAAACAAACAATCAAATTATTTAAAGAATAGAGATGATATTTCTACATTGACAATTCTAATTGAATGGAAAAATAAAGCAAATAAAGTATATATACAATACTTAGCAACTACTAAAAGGAAGAAAAATTTAAGTAAATTATTAACACTTTAAACATTAAAATGAAAAAAAAATGGTATCATAAATACCTTAAATAGTTCAAGAGCAAATGATGATTTTATGACCAAAAATTTCAATAGTTATTCAATCACATAGATAGTTTGAAGGCAGAAGTTACTATGCTAGAAACTACAAAAATGTACAAAGTCAAGGATCATGAAGCACCAAAGAAAATTCCATCCAAGTCAAATGAAAGATTATGATCTATTTTCAAAGACTTACCACCAATTAAAAGGACCTAATGCAATACAGGAAATGACAACTCCAATACCCATTGATGGCAACAATAGGGTATCAGCTGATAGCAAAGAGAAGGAGCAAATATCACGTGAAGAACCAGATAAGGTTTGCATCAAGGAATCTAGCTGGGCACCGATCGACCCAGCCAGGCATCGATTGACGACCCCAACCGAGCATCGACCGACAACCATTACTGTGCCTCGATTGAAGAGGCCACAGGTGCCAGCATTAAAGAGACTAATTTAGCGACATTGGACAAGTCATGTGGGAAAACAATTCATGACCATGTGAAACTTTGAGAAACTAGGCAACACGAGATAATAAAACACACTCATGAAGTGGCATCCGAAAGTCGACACCGCAGGGAGCATTCAACCGAGACGAAAAAATTCGAGCGAGATTCCGACACAAGAGAACAGTATACACTGCCTCTATCAGATACAGATGGAGTTTTACAAAATACAAACAAATTAAGTGATTTCTCCGGGTTCGGGGATGACGGCTCTGTTCTGCCACAGATTCTTCTTCCATTAACCCAGTCGGTGTTCGTCGCCGACTGAATTTCGGAGACAACACACATACAAAGGAGTATCTGCTCGCTCGGAGATCATTGTCGCCGTGCTGGACTATCACTGAACAATTCAATGCACAGGGTAATCACACAAACACAGAGGAGCGGTTGCCTGCTCGGTACTCAATTTTGCCGTGAGGTACAATCGACTTATACAGAAAAAAAGAAACAAAAATGAAAAAGCAAATGGAACATCAGAACAGGACCAGAGCTTTTCTGTGAACCAGAATCTCGGTACACAACCTTCTCCAAAGCGACGCATTCACTAGAGAACATCCAGCAACAAGATCACTTACCACATTCTGGGAGGAGTATTGCCGTGCTCAATCTCGACGTAGTTGTGGACAAAGCGACGCCCTCAGCACATAGGCAGTACCTCGCCACCGCGACAACCATGACCGTTTGATCGACGCCCTACTCAGCAGCATCAAACCTCGCAAGAAACACCACCATTGCACCGACCTCAAAATTCAACAGGGTGGCCACCAACAAACAATGAAACGACACACCTCCAGCATTGACTCCAATGACAACCAGAAGGATTTGTCAAAAGAGCATCCCGGAGGATCTTTCTTTTAAGCACCGATGAACAGGGGGGAGGTGCATCAGCGGCCATCTGTTGTGGTTATACTAGCCCCCACTGCAATCCCACCTCTAGCCCAGAATTCCGATGACAGCGGAGGTGGGCAAGGATGGCCACCATTTAATGGCCACCCCTTAATGCTAAACCGATTTTAGCACTTAATTCAAACTCAAAAAATAAACTGGACATAAATAGCATATTAAATGATCATAATTCTAATACTTTACAACAAACTAGAATAACTAATACCAAAAGAAATTATATAAATATATTACATAATAACTTGGAAGAAAAGACAACATATCAAAACAAGTTAAGAAAAGTTCAAGTAGACGATTCAAGACTTCAAGAAAACAATTACAACAAGCTCAATGCAAGACAAATATATGAAGGTGATTTATTTTTTACTAAAATTAATGATACGCAATTTTTGAAGAAAAAACAAGCTTTAAAACTTGAAAAGAATTCTTTACATTGTTGTATGGTGTGATTTATAATCTATGAATATACTTAGTACCTAGCTATAGAGGGTTTAGTTTTAATTTATTGGCCAAGCTCTAATAAGTGATTTATTCTTAATATAGAAGACAAATAAACGTGACAATATCAAAAAAAAATCTACTAATAAAAACCTTTTATATTTAATAAGGTTTGTACATAAGGCTTTCTAAAGCATCTAAAAATTCTCTAATATCCTTTGCAATATCAAATCATAACTAACCATTTGCCATTAAATTAGATTTTCAATAATTCCAAAGAAAATCTATAATCTCCTTTCAAAAATTCATCTTTATATTATAATTTTGTCATAGCTCCACATCTCCATTTTTAACATATATAAAGTCTTGGCTTCCAAAAATTTCTTTACTTTGCATAAAATGCTCAAATTGTAGCAAAATCCTTTCAAAACATTTTATTTCACAAAGGATTTTTTCTTCCTAAACTTTAAAATTTCATATCTCTTCATCTAACTATTTAATGTTTTTTCAAATTTCTAGACAATGTTGCATTTATCCTTAAATTTTACCAAAAAAAATAAAAATAAAAAATAAAAAAATATAAATTTATTACAAATCATCTGACAACTTAGAAACTCTAATAGGTGCTCTAAATCCCAATTTACAAGCATCAATTTACAAGTACTATTTTCTTCATATTTCAAAATCCAAAACTCAAATGCCTCAAAATTTGGTATGTAGTTTTATAATATAGTAATATAAATTTATCAAAAAATTTAGCCAAAGATTCATCCAAATGCTCAAGATATGGCTAAAATCAAATTCATCATGAAATTAATTCATTGACAAACTTCAATTTGGAAGTACTATCTTCTAGCAATTGTTGCTCTTCTAAATCAATTCCAAACCTTTTGCTTTTTATGTGCAAAATTTAGTTCTTTAAATTAACTTTTTTATTATATAATCCAATCTTCAAAGATCCTTCATATACGTGCACTATGTCTCAAAGAGTGATAGTAGGTACAAAATCAATAACTTGACTTTGAGTGCCTATAATTCCTTCATAAAAATTCCAAATTGCGTAAAATTTGTACCAAAATTATATCCAAAATTCTAAACTTAATAACTTTAATCTTTGATATTTGAATGTTTTCTAAAGAATAATCCTAATTCCTAATAAGACCTTAGGCAATCTCCTTGAAGTTCATTAAGCATGACTTTTGGCCAATAGGAATGGAGATTTTTATCATCTATTTCCATTCATCCATATAGTTGGCATAACTATTCTTTTTTATACAAAAATCCTTCTCTAATCCTTTTTTATACAAAAATCCTTCTCTAATCCTTTTTCTATTAAGTTTTACATTGTATGTGCTTTAAACACCAAATAAAAGAAATAAAACAAAATTTAAAGAGTCATCAATGTTTAATAAAGGTGGCTCTTATTACATAATATAATAAATTATATATTAAATAAATATATGTATTATTTTTACACAATAGCCAAACTATAATACAATAATGTAAAAATTTAGAAGCCAAAAATAAAAATTATTATTTATGGAATAAAATAAAAAAGAATTTAATGTATACAAAATACATGTTATTAAAAAAGATATAATAGAATTAAAATATTAATTAGATTGAATTGATTAATTGTGAAAAGAAGAAGTAATATTAATTAAAGAAATATTATTTATTAGTTAATTAAAAAATAAAAGATATTATTTGATTAAAAAATCATATTATATAAAAAAAAATAGATAAAAAAGGAAAGAAAAAAAATTATTTTAAAAAAAAAAACTTGGTGTAAAAATAAATTATATGAATATTAATATAAATAGGATTAGGAAAAGATAAGAGAGTATAAAAAGGCAAAGAAGTTAGCCCTCATGTGTTCAAAAAATACGGTGGTTGAAACTACTTTTGGTAGTTATAGTAGTTAGAAATCAAGTAGTTTTATTATATTTAAATAATATTAAAAGAAACTCACTATAAAAAGCTATAAATAGCCAAAAAGTTATATTATGACTATCAAAAGAAAATCATAATAAAAAAATTATATTTGACATATTTGTATGTTATTTCATCATATGCTTTTGATCTATCAATAAATTATAGGAATTGCAAGATAAAGTTCATGAAGATATAGAGGTTTTTTAATATAAGGAAAGAAGAGTTTTAAAAATTAAGTTGTATGAGACAAAATAAAATTAAAAAATTAAAGATATTGAAGTTAGATTTAAAATTTAATTATTTGACCTCAATTTTGACATAAATTTCAACTCTAATAACTTGAAACAAGTACAGAGATAGTCCTTATGTAAAAATATAGAAAGAATATTCTATATTTTTTAAGATATAAAAACCTTAATATTCAATGGTCTTCTTGCCATAGAATGGAACATTATTGATGGCTTAGAAGACCTAATAACTATCTTTAAAAGAAAAAAAAAATCACAATATGTAGCAAATATTATTTATTGCATCTTAGATTTCATCAACATATAATCATTACTCCTTGTAGAATTCATTCTTGAAAAGAGGAATAATATCACAAACATATATATTTATTCTAATATTTATTTGAATAGTATAGATAGATAGAAGTAAGTAAAAATAGATTAATTTTATAATATCTTGTTAAAAAGCTTTATTGAAGCTTTATAGACCTAATTTTATTTATATCTATATATATATATATATATATATATATATATATAGCTGATTAATAGGTTGAATACTTTGCCAACAAGTTAGCAATGTATTATATGTTGTTGTATTTTTTGAAATTTGCTTGAGAATATAGTGAGCATCTAGTTGTAGAAGATAAAATGGAACTTGCAACAAGAAGATCCTAACAATTGTAATAGAATCTTAAATAAATTCCAATAAAATTATAACAATGCAAATAGATTTTTAATTAAATTCCAAAAGAAGTTCCAAAGATTTTATAAAATAACATAAAAAATTCAAAATTTAACCTTGAAAATATTTATGATAAAGAAAGCTTAATAAAATATTAAAAATAGAATCTTAATTTAATCTTAATCAAATTTTAATATAATCCTAAAAAAATCCTAAACAAATCCTAACCAAATCATAATAAAACTATAATTCAATCCTAATAAAATTCTAAATAAATTTTAATAAAATACTAACAAATCCTAAATCCAAAATCTTAATAAAATCTTAACCTAAATCTAAACCTAATCTTAATGAAATTCTAATAAAATCCTAATAAAATTTTAGATTAAATTCTAATCAAATCCTAATCAAATTTTAACCTTTATCTTAAATTAATTCCTAATAAAATCCTAAACTAACTCTAATTAAATTCTAATCAAATCCTAAATCCTAATCAAATTCTAAACAAATGTTAAATAATTTTAAGAAATTTTTAAATAAATTTTAATCAACTACTATAGCTATTTTGATACTTCAATAAATAATAATTATATCATTGATCTTAATTAAAATTTCATCTAAAATTTAATTTTTAAACAATTTATAATCATAAAAAAATTGAAAGAAAATCAAAGTCATAAATTGAAAGAAAAGCTTTTATAACCTCTTGAATATTGGTTGTCTTCTTTTCCAACTTAAATGTTCATCTTCCAACAAAGATTTCTCTTTGTTGTACCATTGAATTGCTCCAAAAAATGGCTGATAAATAGGTATTTGATTCTTAATTACTTTCACTAATTATTGCTTCAATCAAACTGACAGATATTGCAAGATTATAAAAACCCTCATTTATCAATTATTTAAGACCATAGTCCAAAAAAACTCTCACAACCTTCAATTTAATTACTTAATTGACATCAAATTTTTTAAATACATTTACAACAAGTTTAGTAACAAACTAAAAAAATTTTACATGTAAATATACTACAATACTTACAAAATCATCAAAATTTTGAACTTCTTTATATTTCTTAAAATCTAAATCCATTAAATCTACTTTTTTACTTTAAAAAGCTCTCAAAACCTCAATATACCTTTAAATCATATAAAATAAAATTTTAAAAATCCTTTCATAAGTTTATTTTCAAAATCTATTTTCCAATCAACCAAAGAATCATAGAGTTGCCTTGGTTCTATTGTTTAATGTCTGAAGCTTTGATTTTGATTTTAGTTCACAACTAGTCCTTTTTGAGTATCAATTCTTGGTATTTTGAGGTAATTTTTTCTAAAATCTATTTTTAATTCGTTTTTAAAGATGCCTATATTAATTATATTTCTCATATATTTTTATTTGGCTCATTTATGCTCCTATAAAGTGAGAATAAGTCTCTTCTATAAGAAGGCAATATTAACACTTATTAATATTTATTACCTCTTTGTCTATTATCTATATTTTAAAGATAATTTACTAAAATATTTTTTAAAATTCCTCTATAATAGAATATTTCCTTTCTTCTTTCACTTAATGGTTGTATTATTACAAAATAATATATTGGTAGCTTGTAATATAAGCAAACCATGTGGTGTATATATAGGAAACTTTTCTTGTAAGTTAAGATGTGTGTCGCGCAAATTAGATATATGTTGGAGGTCCTATAGAATGTTGCCATGTAGTTC